AAACTAGAACTTGTAGGGGCATGGAAAACAAAACATCTATGGCTCTAAGTACGCACACACATCTTTAAGGGTTTGAGCTTAAGCTTTGTTTCAGCATAGAAATCTGTATAGTAATTGTGAATTCAGAACTTAAATCTTACAAACCATCAAAGAGCAGCAAGTAACACTTGAGTTTTAACAAAACACCATCTCCCCCTTCTGCTTTTAATTCTGTTAAGCTTATTTTTGTTTTTGACACCTTTTCCTAAGCTCATTTTATTCCACTACTTTTCAACTCGAAGTTCTGACTATTGTCCTGTCTCCTTCATTAGAACCCATACTTTCTTTTTTTTTTCACTTTAAAAGCGTAATAGTCCATTCTTAGCCCATTTCTGCCTTTTCACTATTTCTTTAGATGATCTGATCTCAAATTGCAAAGTGATCCTTCCACTCTAAAGCTGTCTCTCTTCAATTTTCTCTGTCTCTGACATCTCCTTAAGAATGCAATGCACTCAAAGTCAACTCTCAATTACTTTGTATTTTCAGGCACATTCACTTTCCCACTCTTCCTTCTAACTCTTGTTATCTTTTACTACTGAAAATATCGACACTCTCCCCAGTCTTGCCAATCTTTAGCCTACATGGCAAAGAAGGAATCATATTTTATCTCTTATTTCTAGATCCACTCATGCAAACGGTCGCAGACTCATCTCTTCTTTACCATATGATTTTAAAACATTTATTTTAACTCATGTATTAAAAGCTCCTTCTGAAACCTCATCTTACATTGTTATCTGTCATTCATATACAAATATGAGGGCATACAACATTCCAAATGCAAAGAATATTTTCTTTCCGTATTATTTCCAAAACTTTTCACTTAAAGTTTTTCCCTCATGAAAAAACAAACAAACAAACAAACAAACAAACAAACCTCAGCTAAAATTACTCCTGTGGTTTTGTGGTTTCAAAATTTCAAGCCCTTTCATTCAATGTCTGGTGAACAAAAAGATGTGGCATCTTTTTATTGTCAATAACATGAATGATGAAGGCACAGACATATGTATTAGGGAACGTGCCTAAGGCAAAAATGCCAATACTCTAAAGGAGCAATTAAGTTTTGGAAGCATTGTTTGAAAGTTCAATGACAGTGGCATGTCAGGAAACAAGGATTAGAAAAAGGGGGAAAAGACTAATAAGAAAACGTTTCTAAAAGTGCATGCTAGGTATTAATTTCATTTGCCAAATCTGTAAACTGAACAGGTACAGTAACAAAAATGCATTAGAAATTATCATATATGTATACAAGATAATAATTAAACCTTTTTCAGGAATGATTTTTCTAATAAAAGTTTAAGGCTACTTTTCAGAATACATTATTCGTAACAGAGTTGATCGTCATTAAAATTTTTGAGATATTTGAAAAATGTTTTTTGCCGCTTTGTGCTCCAATTCAAATTATGATAAACAAGTCTTTCACATTAAGTAAAAAAAAAAAAAAGAAAATATCAAGAAAAAAGGTTGTAAATACTGTCATAGATTCCATTATCAGATTTATGTTCTGATTTTGATTGAAACACTGAAGAAGCTTTTATTTTTTTTCTCCCAGTTTCTCAAGTAAACACTGTTCACTTATCCTCATAAAAACTTACTGAAGGTAAATATTCCTCTTAAAACATCAAGGAAAATATAATTGTTGAGAACAAATTACTCTTACGAGCATAACAAAAATAATTTCAACTATATTTACAGAAATGAAAGTTGTCGTATTTCAAAATGTGTAATGGCACTTAAGTTTTAGTGTCAATTTTCAACAAGGTGTAGGTATAGTTAATTATGTAAGCAAAGTAAAACTAAGTAAAACTTGATTCTCAATTTTTAGTGAAGACCATGATGTGAGAAACCCTAAGATTCCTCCCAAACCTTACTCCTTTTTTAATTTCTACTGAAGTTATTACACTTCGTGATGCAGTAGAAGTTATTTGTTTCAGAACCTGGTACAATTAAGAGCAGTACATAAAGTTACCTAAAAGTTGAATCTGTTATATGTGGACTCTACAAGTTAATTATTGCTCTAACCCATACAATGTGTCCACAGACCAAGGATATCAAAAACACATCTTATGGTTATGCTATACTGCACAATCTCACACAAACAATGGAATACTGGAATTTCAGGTGCACATAAAGACAGTAACAACTGTTTCTACTTTAGCTGTTACTGAATAACCTCATTCTAACCTTCTGTTATTTCCACTGAAGAGATATATGTCAAATACAGAAGCATGCATCACACAGGCATCTGCAGCGGGAAGGTGGCACGGAAGACAGACATTCATAAGAATTACTCTTTTTTTTATTCCTTACATTTGCTGTTAGATCATGGAATGTTCTTCTCTCAGCATTAAAGCCACAGAGATACACTCTAAAGGAAAGCAAGCTGATCTACATATAGATCAACAGAAGGCACATGAGGAAGGCCTCCTAACAATACTTCTTTTGCATGTAAGTGAGAGCAATTGGTATTCCATCTGGAAAAGCATACTACTCTGAGATAGAAAACTGTTGCCACTGGCAAAGTTTGTGGTATTAATTTGTAATGGTGGATTTAGGAAAATAAACTAATGCTCATTTACTTGCATAATTATGTGTTTTCTACATAAAATGACAGACTTTTACCTTGCCAATACTAGCACTGAGTTAATGGAAAACAGGACAAGGCAGGTGTACAACTATGCCAGCGCTGATGAATGTCAAGCTCAAGTTACAGATTTGCTTCTTGCATTAACATCTGTAGGACGTACCATCTAATGCATCATCCTTCAGACTATTAAATCTGTTATTTTAAATATTTTCATTGCAGTTTAGCTTTGATTATTAATCTAAAAGGCAAAAAGTTAAACTGTATGTTAGCTTCTTTGCCACTTGATATGTTAAACAGTCTTCATACCTTAAATCCTCTTTAATAAGGCATGCAATTATTAAAGCATTACAGAATGGCCCCAGAGCACACAAGCTCCATTAAATTTGCTTACATCTAATTACATTTGCCTGAGGCAGGTGAGAAATTGACTCTGATAAGATCTTTCTTTTACCTGTAGCCAAAAATATAAAAAGGAAAAAAAAAATCTCACAGTGATTTTCTATCTAATTGCTATCTACAAGTATTTATGGTATTCGCTTCTTAAACAAATAGCCAACAAAGGACTCTTTGTGCACTAACTGGTCCATTTTAAGCCTTTTTTTTTTTTTTAAGGTTGCAGAATATAAAAGAAAAGCTTATCTTGCTTCAGGGATAAGGCAATGATATCTGCTTGTGAAATAGTTGCATCTATTATTTATATCATATGCTTCCTTAATATACTCCACCTATATTTTAAATAGTATTTACTTGTTCCATTTTGGGGCTGTTGTTTGTTTTTCCTGGTTATTTCCCTTTAGTTATACAAATAAATGAAAACAACCTACATTTAATGAAAAATAATTCTGATTGGATAAAGCATGTTGCATATTCTTGTAGACATCCATTTTTTCTTCACCGCCGTAAGGAACGTAAGCATTTTTTTTTCCCTAAAATAGATATACTTTACCTGGTCTGAAAACTGAATTCCTTTAAAAAATGTTTATTTTTTCCAATTAAAACTAACAAACAAACAAACAACAGTGTAATGTAGAAAAGACTCCTATGTATTTGTAACTGGCTTTACATGAATTCAGGCAAATATTATCTTATGTCACTTGTTATCTCTAAGTGAATGAGGGAACACCATATTTCTAATCATTCTAATCCCACTAATCTATAGATGCTATGAGAAAAATACAGCAAGGCTATCATAACCATAATACAAAAAAGTGGTCAGAAGCAGTATCACCTAAAGAGAAGCAGGTTTAAAAAAATAAAAAATTATTATTTTTTTAAAGTCATAGAATTCACCTAAGTGTAAATGGATTATAATTCAATTCTTGGTCAGTATTTCAGTAGAAATAACTTTGTAATAAAGCAGTCCTTTAAAGAAGATGGACAGACATTAGGAATTTAATGTGTAAGTTGCCCAAATAAGCCATCCATAAGACTTCTAAGGTTATGCAACACATTTTTAGACATACTGCTTTAGCCACCAAAGCATTATACTAGCCATTCTGCAGTGCAATGGGCCACAAATCTTCAGTCAGCCCAAAAAACAAGAGGTACTCTGGTCACGTTTTACATGTATGCTTAAAATATCATATGATACTCATAAATGAAAAACTGCATAGGAGCCTGAAATGAATGTATCATACCGTTTATATGCTTCTCATGGTTATAAAACGTCATTCAGTAAGATTTCCTATAAAACTTCACTTGAATTCAACTTTAATCAATAAACAAGCTGATAATCTTTTAATTTGTTCCATTATACAAACCTCATATTACATACCTGATGATGAAAAAACGTTAATCTGCTGCACAAAGAAACTACATTGTAAACAATTGTTTCTTTAAAGAAGAAAATGAAAAACTATTGCTGTTTGCTATATGCTCCATGAATTCAAAGTGTTTTTATACAAAATGTTTTGGTCTCATATAATTACATCTTGTTTAATGTTAGTTTGTTATATTTCTATTAAAACTTTCATGGTTGTTTTATAATATTGTCACCAGTCTGCATCATCTATAAATGACAATACTGTGAACCACTGAATTATGTGTGCATCTTCACTGCAAATCAGAACTAAAACAGAAAAAAAATAAAATTGAAAAAGGAATTTAATAACTATGCTATGAAGAATTACTTTACAGCTACTTTAAAGCTTTGTCCACTCTGAGAAAAGAATGAAATGTATATAGGCTGATTCAGACATTATGACTGTTATTTGGCCTTATGATTTTTTATTTTTTAATTTTATGTTTTAATTTTCTTCATGCTCATATTAACATTTCTTATTCAAAAATATAGAACAAAGTTCCTGTTTTTCTTTGTTATGTAGTGGACTTGCCCACTCAAGTTTTAGCAGAAATTATTACATAATTGAATACATACCAAAAGCCGCTACTTTTATGATTATGGCTTGAATGTTAGATGATATCATTTCTTTAAGCAGTATCTCCTGCTTTCGACGCCAAAGATAAGCTAAAGGCTGAAGACTAAGCCTTCTGCATCTTAAAAACAAAATAAAAGAGGATGAAAGCCAAGCAACATACATTTAAACAGCATGATTAACTTAAATTTAAAGAAAGTGAGTTTCTATGATTTCCTATCATTACGTAATTTTCTTCTATAATTCAATTAAAATATTTAATTTAAAACTTGAAATGTAGGAATAGTAATCTCTAACATTAGTAAAAAAAAAAAAAAAGACACCGTAATCTTGTTCTGATTACAGTTCACTTACATGTATATAAGATGCAACACATTGATGTAAACAGATTTGCCTGGGAACTTAAGTAAACCTTTAGGGATGCAAACCCATTAACACCTTAGGAAATGATCACTTTTTATGAACACAGCTAAGGCAACAGTTACTCCTCTGGTAACCATGGCACATATCACTAATACATGTTGAATTTGTTACTCAACAAAACTGATTTGGATCCATACCCAAGGAAAAGAATAATTTGGAAAAACGTATGTAGCTTGAGATACAAAGTAAAAAGTTGACAGTGTAAATTTAATTATGTTTTGATAATATCATACTTAGCATTTGAAGTATAGCAGTATAGCACTTGATTATCATAGTAGAGAATCACTCATTTGCACTACCAATTGTTAACTGTTCTGCAAATTGTCAAGTATCATCAGTTGGCAATAAAACGTGTAATGCTTAGATCCTGGAAAATTTAAAAACATTAAAAAAATTTAAAAACTATAGGCCTAGATCAAATGATTCAAAAATACATTTATTTGACAATTGACACTGTTTGTCTAATATATGGGATTTCTCACTAGTATTAGTGTCAAGATTTTGTATTTAAATGGATGTTTAATGTTGACACCTAAATTCATAGTTACCACCTGTGTAATCTGACTAGTTTTGCTATTATTTTCATGTATTTTCACTGAGGGCACACAGTTGTGAAATTAAGAGAAATATTTTACAACTCTGCATGTGAAGTAGTTCATTTAGGTGCCTAACATTATCTACAAATTAGCTGAGTCCAAGCAACTGGAATGGTTTGTGTGTCCAGGTTTTGACTGGGACAATTTTCTTCCTAGTAGCTGCTATGGTGCTGTGTTTTGGATTTAGGATTAAAATAATGCTGATAACACACGAATGTTTTAGCTGTTGCAGAACAGTGCTTACAAGTCAAGGACTTTTCAGCTTCTCATGCAGCCAGCAAGGAGGCTGGGGGTGCACCTGAAGCTGGAAGAGGACAGAACCAGGACAGCTGACCCAGACTGGCCAAAGGGATATTCCATACCATATGGCATCTTGCTGAATGATAAAACGGGTTGGGGAGTTGGATGGGGCAGGGGCAGGTGCTGCTGGGGGTCTGGTCGGTAGGTGGAGAGCAATTGCATTCTGCATCACTTGTTTTATATAGTCCTTTATCACAATTATTGTTATTTTCCCTTCTTTTTCTGTCCTATTAAACTATCTTGTGTATCTCAATCCACAGGTTTTACCTTTTTTTTTTTTTGATTCTCTCACCATCACATTGTTGGGGCAGGAAGAGCAAGTGAATGGCAGTGTGGTACCTAGCTGCCTGCTAAAATAAAAAATCCAAAAATCTGGTATACTCTCTACTGGATTTTTACTAATACTATATACAAAACACATAGTTCCAGGGGAAAAAAAAAAAAAGTTAGCAAACTGAACTAATTAGGTATCAGAACATCTATGTTAATAAAGATTAATATTTTCTTACACATCTTCAACTCGAACTCTCTGGTAGTCAGAAAGAATAGCTCCCACAGATACAGCCTCCACTCCTTCTTTGTCCTGAAAGACAAGGAATAATAACAATATATGCTGGCCTACACAATATTTTCAGTACACCTACAGAAGAATCAACCAGGAAAAAACCATTGTCCCTGTACCCAGTACATGGAACTGAATGGGCTGCAATGCAGATCTTACAAAGAAAAGAGCAGCACAGCTGACTTATAACACGGTTATGACTCCAACAGAGTACTCTATTCTACCCAAGTACCATTCTACAAAATAAATGGTCAGCGTACCTAAAAAATACCAGACTTAACAGCTTGGTGTAGCATTTTCCTGAAATCCTGAAAATTATTTGCAGTTCTTCACTGTAACTGAGATGTCAGCTATCACCATATCTACAAATAAATATCACTAACATAAAATCATCAGCATAGGTTAAAATGTTAGCATCTATCACAATACACAGCACAAGAGCAAAATACACCAGAATGAGAACATTTGCAAGGAACTTAACATTACCTACAAATTCTGCTAAAAGTTTTTTCATGACATTGTCTTTGGATTCCTGTTTTATTTCAGTTATTTAATCCAACCACTATTTATTCTCAACACATTGAGAATAAACGTGAAAATGCACACACTTAAAATATTGAAAAGCATGAGCTTTTGCCCTTTTAAGTGACTTGAGTCCCAATCAACATGCTGAATTTACATTGTTTCCTTAAATTCATTCTAGTTATAGTTTTGCTCTTTTAACCAATGTTGATCATAACTTAACAAAGAATCACCTTCAGGAGCTGCTCTGTTAGACAGCAACCTCATGAAGCTTCCAAAAAGACCATACCAAAAGTTTTTTAACTAAATACCTACATATGAATTTCGAAATCAAATCAGTCTTTGCCTGCCATGATACTGAACTAAAAATTCACCTTCAGATTATCGATAAAATGATGCTGAAGGTGCTTTATACATAATTATATTATAAGGGAGAAAAACTAAAACATTTTATATCTTTGTGGTACATTTTCTTCCTCAATATTCTTCTTTTTCCATTAATTCTCATTTCATAGTTGCCTAATCAAATTCCCAATTTATTGATATCCATCTACACTTCCAATTTAAGAGTCAATGTATTTATCAAAATTCCTAGTTACAGTAATCTGATAATTTTATCACTGTTTATGTACATTTATGTACACATTTATGTACTACTACATGTCATTAATGGATATATCATTTAACACAAAATTTAATACCAAGTCATACAGGATTCAGCTTGATGCTTCTCACGTATTCAGACCTAAACTAACAATAAAAAATAATTTTACCTTATCTGTCACTAGTTCATTATCCACTTCCTGTATTATCATTACCTTCCAGTCAGCATTACTTCTACTTTTCAAGCCTTCTATATAACGTTTCAAAGCACTTTTCAGAATAAAGATAAATCTTAGACCTTTCAATTTACTTAACATGATGATACATGTATATCAAAGTGTTCTGAACACTCTACACAATGTCAACTTACTTCCACAAAAAATCTTTTTTTCTTTCTTTCTTTTTCAAACATTTGTCAGTATTAGCACCCTAAGGAAAATTAATCTGAATTACTAATTAGGTTCATTTAAATTCACAGTTAGCTTTTAAGTGAATTAAATATTAAGGCCAGTGAATAAAGCCATTCGGAATAAAGGTGTCCAAAAGAATATTAAATAATCTGTTTTAGAATTATTGGATTAACTTGTTTGATAATCTAATGGAGGAAAGATCTTTTTATATATAGGTTTGCTGTATGACAGGAATGAAGAATCACAACAGGAATCAAAAAACTGCTTATGTTCCGCACTATTCAATATGGAACTGCTCTTTTTCAAGAGTTCAATCTGCTGTTTTTTCCTACAGATCGTAAAAATATAAACACTAGCTCTTGGACTGAGTGTATATTTAGCTCTATCTTGAGTTCTTCACAACTCCAAATGAATAAGGAAAGCAATGACTATAGTACTTTCTATCTTACTAAACAAGCTATCAACAAAGAAATAACCAATCATATATTTTCTCAGTGAAATGGAAAATTCAAAAGATGGAAACAGTACGTCTGTTGGATCTACTTCTTCCTATCTGACAGCATAAAATAAAGAACCAATGCCATTCCTAAACCAGGACAGATAAAGAGCTGAAAAGTAAACAAACTGTGCAGCTACAGTTTCAACATTTAATGGCCATTAACCTCATTACTCCACATCCAGCCAAAACTTAGGCAAGAGCCTTTAAAGTGAATCACACTAAAGATGTCGATTGCCCTCACACCTCATAACATTAGTAACTTGCACAAAGTCTATTTATATGGATTGGTTGGTAAAATGTCTTCTGGAGACCAAAGTAAGCAACTGTGCACCAACTCCAATCCTTGAAATACCAATTGATAGCAGGTTAGTACTTGGTTGTTCACATGAACGCCAGCAGTTCTATCTTACTACTGCAAACATACCTGGGACAACTCCTGTAGAGTACATCCAGACTATCAGATAGTGTATATAGATAAATATGTATGTATGTATATATATATGAAAACTGAACACCTATACAGGGAGAGAAGTATCTTCCTGCAGAAAGAAGAGTAGAACATCCCCCCACCCAAAACAAACAAACAAACAAACAAAAACAAACAATACCACTGCAGAAAACCATCTGTTTTTCTGTGACCACAAAACAGGCTAGGGACTTAGGGCTGGTGGGAAGGGAAAGGTAGAACAGTTAGCAAATGATCGAGGGAAATACAAAACAAAAGCACAACCTGCAAAGTACGCCTACAATCAACCCAGTGCAGCCTCCCAGTCTTACAGACACTGAATACTGAAATGCCTTTTCATTAATACCGCTTCATGGAAGGCAGCATAAAAATACAAATGATATAGCACATCTAATATATCAGACACTGTGAAAAGTATGCAGGTTTCCTGCACTGCCACCAATGTGGCATCTACTGCAGGCATTATAGCTATGGTAATCTGTAAAATCAGAAAATATTACTTCATAGAACACACTGGGCTCAATGATGATGATAAACACCGGCGAAAGCTGGGGGAAAAGGCAAAATGAAGAGTTATTCAGATTGTCTACTTACTGATATTTCCAGATTATTATTTGTTTATTCCATTACAAACAGCAGGTAAATATATTAGTTTTGTAATCTACTAAACAGAGTTGACTAATCCAATCACCCCCCCACCCCCCAAGTCCCTTACCACACCAATCAACTTGTTCTTACAAAGAACCACGTGCAACAGGAAGTTTCAGTCTGATATAATTCCAAGTATTTTACATTCTATTAAGACCTTATACACATATAGTAACAGTAAAATATGAAATTTTATGACTGCTTGTTTGAGTTGACCTTTATGGCTGAATCTATCATAACATTCAAGACAAGCTTAACAGTATGACAGTTCCGTAAGATTTTAAAACTAAGTTCTGCATACTCTGATTTACAGGATTTCACGAGGTAAAATTTTTTTTCATGGTCATAATAACCGTATTTAACTATATTTATGTATTACATATTTCATGTTATAGATATGCAGCTCTGTGTTTACTTGATAGTGCCCTTTTTTTTGTTATAGTCGGAAGATAAAGACAGAACATACATTTTCTTATATACTTAATTGTGATGCAAAGACTCTTCTGATCCATGCAAATGCCTACTCTCAGGCTGACATCACAGCTGCAATTAGCACTATCATCTTTTACTGGAAGAATAATAGGAATCAAAGGAATCAAATCACATCACTTAACTTCAATATTCCAGTACTTTACTGATTGTAGGTCCATCCTCAAGATCAGCCCTAAAAATGCGTTAAGGATTCTAACAGTGTGGTATTTCAAAAAGAATTCGTGAAAAATAATTTATTGGACATACTATTCATGATAAAGTGTAGAGACGATTTGTTTAAAAAGTAGTTTTTCAAAAGTCTTGGGAAGGAGATGTATATAATATATACCTCATTAACAGAATGTCTTATAGAAAAAAATGGTCTGTTAATAATTGAGAACTAAAAGCAACTACATTTCAAACGTACTCTATAAAAAAAGGACTTTTCCCTGCTGCAGATGCAAAGACATAGTTAAACTTTTTGAAAAAAGAATGTAGCAATGCAAATAGTGCCTGCAGTAGCCCTGGATTTCCTGTCTTTTATAGCTCTAAGTTTTGGAGTTTTTTTTTTGGTTGTTTGTTTTTTTTTTGACTGTGGGAGTGACTACCTTTGGCAAATGGTAGTCACTCTCACAGAATTGAACTCCGAGATCGTATAGTCTCACAGTAAATAAACAGAAGTGGAACATTTCAAAATTATTTATATTTAAGGACACAGCAGAAAAGTAACAATTTAAAAATACGGTTTTAGTGCATGTATTTTAAAAGTTTTATTGAGTTGTAGCAGCAGCAATAATTTTTAGAAGCAGAAGAGCTTGTAGCTCACCAATTAAGCAAATTTGCAACATTGTCACTGCTTAACAGTACCGTTTTATTTTATTGCATCAGTCTGTTGTCTGAAGTATCATTATATTGTGAAGGAAACTGCCTTATAGTACAATTTAAAGTTACTCTGAACTTTTATTCTTACTATAATTTTGAACAGTTAAATTTACAAGTGTTGCCAGCAACCATTTGTATTGCCATCAATTCTTACACATAACAGAAGTGTATTGTGTTTTGTTGTTGTTTTTGCTAATAGATTAAATTGAAATATTCGGGGCTTTCCTGACTATTGCTTTCAAAAATAAATTATACATAAATTAAGTCTTCAGTCATAATGGCTGGATGGAGAATAATCTTTGGGAAAGTACTTTCAGTATATATTTTCCAGACACTTGAGGAAAGTTCCTATATAAGTTCTCATTCAAATGCAAAGTCATACTGTACTCATACAGAATTTTGCATCTATTTCTTGATAAAAACAAACTAATAAAACATATGTGTTCAGATATTCTGGAAAACCAGTCACTACATACCATTTAAGTTACAACTTCCATTGTTCACTGTTAAGTTACCAGAG